TTACATTTTTCGACTCAGGACACCTTGAAATGTTGAGAAATGCAAAAATACTAGGTGGTTTTCTGTATGTATGGATGTGTATGGGGGGACACTATTTTTTTTCACCCTCTTTGAAGCTTAATAATTCCTGTGCTTTTTGTCAAAATTTCTGAAATTTTTTAGGGAGGTTGTTTATTAGGGGAATTGATATTATTAAATTTTGATGCTTAAAGGTTGAGGGGAGTGGAGATAATGGGGTCATGTATAGACCCAGTAGGATCAGACTTAATTAATGACGATTTTACTTGTTATTAGCATTTACAATTTTTTATAAATCCTATCTCTACCCTCAAAATTAAGTTTCTTGCCATTTTATAATAGTTAAAAATATAAAGTATGATAACATGGTGCCATCAAATGTTTCTGGGAAAAGTTAAGCAACTCATTGCTGAATTTTTTATTTAAAAGTACTAACTTCATACTTTTTCTTCTAATAAATAAATTGTCAGTCATTTAGGAACTCATAATGTTTTATTAATAAATATTGCCAAGTTTGTACTGAATACTCAATTTATAACTTTTATGTTGTTTTAAAAATTAAAATTAAAAAAAATTTTAAACTATTTTTACCAGAATATTAATGAAATGAATGAATAAATCAGATATTAGTAACGACAATGATAGATGTTGATTTTTGTTGATTTTTATGATGATTTTTGATTTTTAAATGTTGATTTTTGTTGATTTTTAAATGCAAAATTGTTTAAATATTCTTCCTATCAAGTACCAATTCCATAAAATGTCATAAAACTCATAAATATGCTAAAATAAAATATAAAAATTGAATTTTTGTGATAGAATGTTTTTTAAGACCAAGATATGTCATCATTAATTGACATTCCATTAAAAATAATGAATGTAAATCTAAATGAATTTTTTAAATAACAANATGCGATATAATATGAACAGCCATATATATGAGTAGAGACTGTTGTTGAGCCTTGATGTTTGTAGTTCTGATGTAGTAGTTTAGAACCTTTTCTACAATACATAGTGGCAAAGGAAGGAGCTCTGCTAGTATCAGAGGCATTAGTAGAAACAGTTATGCAACACTTTGAAATTCTGATGGCAAACTGTCTTTGAAGAGAGTAATTTACTTGCTACTGAATTTTTACTAGTTACATGACCCCAGGTAGAGGCCATGTAAAGTAGCATTGGTTGTATTGCCCCATTATATAGAGTTTTACAAGCTTTACGATTTAGTCCCCAGCTGCACCTAGCACTTTTTAACAGCATGTAGTTTATTTTATTGACCTTATCTAAGATGTAATTAATATGGCAATGGAATGTGATTTCTATTCTCTCTTGTTTTATTTTGTATGATGTTTCTGTTTACACATGCACTAGCTAGTTGATCAGTCAAAGTTTTTTGCATCCTTTTGTGAAAATTAAAATTAATTTTATTATNTTTTGTGATAGAATGTTTTTTAAGACCAAGATATGTCATCATTAATTGACATTCCATTAAAAATAATGAATGTAAATCTAAATGAATTTTTTAAATAAATAAAAAGGCTTAAAATCAGTTCAAAAATTTTTTTAAAGTTTAGAAAAAAGTAAAAATAACAATTAATTTGTAACAAATAGATGAAAAACTTAACATGGTTAAAACAGAATAACTACCACCAAATTGAATTTTGATAGTAGTAGTACTTTTTAAAATTAATTTCTGGTAGACTTACTATTAGCCAATGACTTTATAAGTTTATAAGCCATAACTTGCAAAATTAGATAGATATAGGATCCTTTAGGAAGAATATAGCTGTGCATTGAGAATGTAACTATATTTCATAAGGACATACTTTCTCTTTTTATATTATTTTATAATGTTAAAAAATAATGTTATATTAACAAAACAACAATCGATCTCACACTTTCCTTATGTCTTTCAGCAATACTTTATCAGAAAACAAATGTTTCAATATTTATAAAACACATTTATAATGAAAACTATTTTGTAGTGATAATTTTTTAATTTCTAGAATAAGAAGTCAACTTTCTGGTGAATGTCTGTGATCAGATGCTTCTTAAAACGTATTAATAGATTAGGTGCAATTAGTATTTTAAGGGAATCTATAGTAATTGAAAAAATAAATCATCATATTATGAAAATTTACAATATCTGTTTATAATTTTTTTTTCATTTATTCATTTTTTTTAATGTTTGTGATAAACTTTATGTAATAATATTTATAAAATAAAAGAGAAGTAAATTTGATAATAACGATCCACGAAAAAACCTTTTTTACGAGGGTTATTTTCACTATTAAGTTCCACGAGTACTTTCGACCTCCACCGAGGTCTGCTTCAGGTGGTGAGTGTCGACCCGACCGTTGTAACGATGTTGCCAACGATGTAAATAAATAAACGTGCGCGTCGGGTTTCACCCCTCCGACCGCCATTGCTCGAACTCCTCGAATAAATACTTCCACGCCTGTGCAAGTGTTTCCCCGTCCTTGTAGTTGATGCAGTTGCCCCCCCTGCTAGCTTTGTGAATCTCCCAGGCCTCCAGGTGACGGATGTGATCCGCGCGGAACACGTGTCTGATAACTTTGGTGTTCCGGAAGTCCGCCCTTATTTCCGGGTCGGTGACATAGGTGGATAAGGCAGTGGTGTGTCTTTTATGCTTAATATCAGCTTGGTGTTCGCGTATACGTTTCTGTGTTGATCGGATGGTGGAGCCGATGTAAACTAAGTCTCTATTGAACCTGTCGTCCCGTATGGGAACGGAGTAAACACCTGGGGCCCTGGTGAGATCGATTGCGTCCTTCGCGTTGCGCAGCAAGTCGTAAAGCGTGCCGGTTCTTAAGTACGCGATTTTGGTGCGGCTGTTGCTAGCGATCTCCCTATATAGGGGGTCTAAATGCCGGTTGAAGCGGACGACCGCGCGTTTCGCGTTCCCATCCGGTTGTCGGTTGTCGTCCGGCGATGGTAGGGGGCTGTCCCTGCGGCTAGGGGGGCGGCGAGCGTATGCGCGTGCTAAACCGCGGACCAAGGCTTTGTTATAACCATGTTCCACGGCAATTTTTTCTATGCGTCGGATCTCCGACCATGCGTCGCGCACATGTGTGTGGTGCGTGAAAGCCCGTTTGGTAAGGGCTCGGAAAGCCGCCATTTTGTAAACAAAGGGGTCAGAAGAGCACGCGGGAATGAACAGCGGGAGTTGGTCAGGTTTATGGTAGACGCTCGTTTCTATCTTGCCCCCCCTGAGACGGATGTTAACATCAAGAAAATGAGCACTCGAGTTGCTAACCTGTTCTAAGCCGAGGGTGAGGCCATATGCATTGTCGTTCATACACGACAAAAAATCGTCCAGATTGGGAGTGGTTTTCCACAGTATAAAGATGTCGTCCACGTATCTTTGGTATAGACTGATGTTTGGTAAGAATTTGGGCAACACTTTCTCCTCCAATTGTCTCACCACCAGCTCGCAAAGGTCCCCCGAAAGCGGGCTGCCCATGGGGACACCTCTTCTTTGTAAATAAGTGGCCCCGTTAAACTGGAAGACCGAGGTGTAGCACATAAGATGCGCCAGCTCCAATATCTGCTCACGGTGCCGGAGTGCATCATTCTCACGTAGTAGCAGGTCCCTAAGAGCGCAGAAGCATGGCTGCAGCCTTATCGAAGGGAAAAGGGACACGAAATCCAAGACCGTGATGTGCGGGTCCTCCCCAACCTCGACTCGCCGTAACACCTCTACAAACTCAGCAGAATTGGTGGTAGAAAACTTGTAACCCCTCAGTCGCTCGGCGGCGATGTTGTGGACGGCCTTCTCGAGCAGCCTCGTAGGGGATCTGGCTTTATCCAGGACCGGCCTAAGAGAGGGGGTGTGTTTGTGCGTTTTGGCGAACGCGAACAGCCTCGGAACGTCAGGAGCGGCAACGACCGCCTTGCTCAATCCCCATTTCATGGCTAACGACGTGCGGGTGAACCTAGAAACACGGGACTGTAGCTTATCTATGTAGCCGTCGTCGGTGGGCTCGCAGTCAGTATCGTCGATATACCGTTGCATGAGAGACCTGTAGGTGGCTTCCTTTAATAGAACGAGCGATTTATTTTTATCCGCTTTTAGGACCATGATGCGTTCGTCCGTCAACCATTTCCTGGTTTTTCGTAAGATGCGCCACCATTTGTCATCGCGGGTCCTGTTGACAGAACAAATCGTGAATGCGGCTTTCCACCTGTAGTACTCCTTTCGGGTGTCGCTCAAGCCGTTGATGAGTCTTTCGATGTCTGGCATTATATTCTCCGGGCGCATTTTCGACGGTCCCGGGGCAAACATCGGACCATGCTGCATGATGCTAAGGAGAAAATCCGGGGGAGTTATGTGGTCCCAACAAATCACCGGTGCAGCCCGCGATGGTTTTTTGTGCGGACTTTGTTTAGCTAAGATCCAGTCAAGTTTTTTACGGTACCTTGTCTGTAGGTTGCGCAATAGGATTTCCTGGAAGCACGCCGCCCTTCTGTTCTCGTCTTCAAGTTCCGTCCGGTTGCGTTTGAACATTTGGTTCTCTAATCGGATTAATCTGTCCAGGATGGAATAGACGTTCTTCCTGGCGACTCGAATGGCCCTTCTTAAACATATCTTCCTGAGTTTCGGGAGTATTGTCTCGCAGTTCTTGGGGAGGCGTATCCGGTGAATAGACATAGGCAAAACATCGTTACTCTGGCACTCCATTAGGAAACTAAGTTTAGCCCTAGCCCTTGTAAGGGCCAATACGGTCTTCTTGTAGACTTTAGCCGGCATAGCTTGCTTACTAAGATAACTACTTCCAACACTTTAACACCTCGTTTAATAATAACGATCCACGAAACAACCTTTTTTACGAGAGTTATTTTCACTATTCAGTTCCACGAGTACTTTCAACCTCCACCGAGGTCTGCTTCAGGTGGTGAGTGTCGACCCGACCGTTGTAACGATGTTGCCAACGATGTAAATAAATAATCGTGCGCGTCGGGTTTCACCCCTCCGACCGCCATTGCTCGAACTCCTCGAATAAATACTTCCACGCCTGTGCAAGTGTTTCCCCGTCCTTGTAGTTGATGCAGTTGCCCCCCCTTCTAGCTTTGTGAATCTCCCAGGCCTCCAGGTGACGGATGTGATCCGCGCGGAACACGTGTCTGATAACTTTGGTGTTCCGGAAGTCCGCCCTTATTTCAGGGTCGGTGACATAGGTGGATAAGGCAGTGGTGTGTCTTTTATGCTTAATATCAGCTTGGTGTTCGCGTATTCGTTTCTGTGTTGATCGGATGGTGGAGCCGATGTAAACTAAGTCTCTATTGAACCTGTCGTCCCGTATGGGAATGGAGTAAACACCTGGGGCCCTGGTGAGATCGATTGCGTCCTTCGCGTTGCGCAGCAAGTCGTAAAGCGTGCCGGTTCTTAAGTACGCGATTTTGGTGCGGCTGTTGCTAGCGATCTCCCTATATAGGGGGTCTAAATGCCGGTTGAAGCGGACGACCGCGCGTTTCGCGTTCCCATCCGGTTGTCGGTTGTCGTCCGGCGATGGTAGGGGGCTGTCCCTGCGGCTAGGGGGGCGGCGAGCGTATGTGCGTGCTAAACCGCGGACCAAGGCTTTGTTATAACCATGTTCCACGGCAATTTTTTCTATGCGTCGGATCTCCAACCATGCGTCGCGCACATGTGTGGGGTGCGTGAAAGCCCGTTTGGTAAGGGCTCGGAAAGCCGCCATTTTGTAAACAAAGGGGTCAGAAGAGCACGCGGGAATGAACAGCGGGAGTTGGTCAGGTTTATGGTAGACGCTCGTTTCTATCTTGCCCCCCCTGAGACGGATGTTAACATCAAGAAAATGAGCACTCGAGTTGCTAACCTGTTCTAAGCCGAGGGTGAGGCCATATGCATTGTCGTTCATACACGACAAAAAATCGTCCAGATTGGGAGTGGTTTTCCACAGTATAAAGATGTCGTCCACGTATCTTTGGTATAGACTGATGTTTGGTAAGAATTTGGGCAACACTTTCTCCTCAAGTTGTCTCACCACCAGCTCGCAAAGGTCCCCCGAAAGCGGGCTGCCCATGGGGACACCTCTTCTTTGTAAATAAGTGGCCCCGTTAAACTGGAAGACCGAGGTGTAGCACATAAGATGCGCCAGCTCCAATATCTGCTCACGGTGCCGGAGTGCATCATTCTCACGTAGTAGCAGGTCCCTAAGAGCGCAGAAGCATGGCTGCAGCCTTATCGAAGGGAAAAGGGACACGAAATCCAATACCGTGATGTGCAGGTCCTCCCCAACCTTGACTCGCCGTAACACCTCTACAAACTCGGCAGAATTGGTGGTAGAAAACTTGTAACCCCTCAGTCGCTCGGCGGCGATGTTGTGGACGGCCTTCTCGAGCAGCCTCATAGGGGATCTGGCTTTATCCAGGACCGGCCTAAGAGACGGGGTCTGTTTGTGCGTTTTGGCGAACGCGAACAGCCTCGGAACGTCAGGAGCGGCAACGACCGCCTTGCTCAATCCCCATTTCATGGCTAACGACGTGCGGGTGAACCTAGAAACACGGGACTGTAGCTTATCTATGTAGCCGTCGTCGGTGGGCTCGCAGTCAGTGTCGTCGATATACCGTTGCATGAGAGACCTGTAGGTGGCTTCCTTTAATAGAACGAGCGATTTATTTTTATCCGCTTTTAGGACCATGATGCGTTCGTCCGTCAACCATTTCCTGGTTTTTCGTAAGATGCGCCACCATTTGTCATCGCGGGTCCAGTTGACCGAACAAAACGTGAATGCGGCTTTCCACCTGTAGTACTCCTTTCGGGTGTCGCTCAAGCCGTTGATGAGCATTTCGATGTCTGGCATTATATTCTCCGGGCGCATTTTCGACAGTCCCGAGGCAAACATCGGACCATGCTGCATGATGCTAAGGAGAAAATCCGGGGGAGTTATGTGGTCCCAACAAATCACCGGTGCAGCCCGCGACGGTTTTTTGTGCGGACTTTGTTTAGCTAAGATCCAGTCAAGTTTTTTACGGTACCTTGTCTGTAGGTTGCGCAATAGGATTTCCTGGAAGCACGCCGCCCTTCTGTTCTCGTCTTCAAGTTCCGTCCGGTTGCGTTTGAACATTTGGTTCTCTAATCGGATTAATCTGTCCAGGATGGAATAGACGTTCTTCCTGGCGACTCGAATGGCCCTTCTTAAACATATCTTCCTGAGTTTCGGGAGTATTGTCTCGCAGTTCTTGGGGAGGCGTATCCGGTGAATAGACATAGGCAAAACATCGTTACTCTGGCACTCCATTAGGAAACTAAGTTTAGCCCTAGCCCTTGTAAGGGCCAATACGGTCTTCTTGTAGACTTTAGCCGGCATAGCTTGCTTACTAAGATAACTACTTCCAACACTTTAACACCTCGTTTAATAATAACGATCCACGAAAAAACCTTTTTTACGAGGGTTATTTTCACTATTAAGTTCCACGAGTACTTTCGACCTCCACCGAGGTCTGCTTCAGGTGGTGAGTGTCGACCCGACCGTTGTAACGATGTTGCCAACGATGTAAATAAATAATCGTGCGCGTCGGGTTTCACCCCTCCGACCGCCATTGCTCGAACTCCTCGAATAAATACTTCCACGCCTGTGCAAGTGTTTCCCCGTCCTTGTAGTTGATGCAGTTGCCCCCCCTGCTAGCTTTGTGAATCTCCCAGGCCTCCAGGTGACGGATGTGGTCCGCTCGGAACACGTGTCTGATAACTTTGGTGTTCCAGAAGTCCGCCCTTATTTCCGGGTCGGTGACATAGGTGGATAAGGCAGTGGTGTGTCTTTTATGCTTAATATCAGCTTGGTGTTCGCGTATACGTTTCTGTGTTGATCGGATGGTGGAGCCGATGTAAACTAAGTCTCTATTGAACCTGTCGTCCCGTATGGGAATGGAGTAAACACCTGCGGCCCTGGTGAGATCGATTGCGTCCTTCGCGTTGCGCAGCAAGTCGTAAAGCGTGCCGGTTCTTAAGTACGCGATTTTGGTGCGGCTGTTGCTAGCGATCTCTTTATATAGGGGGTCTAAATGCCGGTTGAAGCGGACGACCGCGCGTTTCGCGTTCCCATCCGGTTGTCGGTTGTCGTCCGGCGATGGTAGGGGGCTGTCCCTGCGGCTGTTCGCGTTCGCCAAAACGCACAAACAGACCCCGTCCCTTAGGCCGGTCCTGGATAAAGCCAGATCCCCTATGAGGCTGCTCGAGAAGGCCGTCCACAACATCGCCGCCGAGCGACTGAGGGGTTACAAGTTTTCTACCACCAATTCTGCCGAGTTTGTAGAGGTGTTACGGCGAGTCAAGGTTGGGGAGGACCCGCACATCACGGTATTGGATTTCGTGTCCCTTTTCCCTTCGATAAGGCTGCAGCCATGCTTCTGCGCTCTTAGGGACCTGCTACTACGTGAGAATGATGCACTCCGGCACCGTGAGCAGATATTGGAGCTGGCGCATCTTATGTGCTACACCTCAGTCTTCCAGTTTAACGGGGCCACTTATTTACAAAGAAGAGGTGTCCCCATGGGCAGCCCGCTTTTGGGGGACCTTTGCGAGCTGGTGGTGAGACAACTGGAGGAGAAAGTGTTGCCCAAATTCTTACCAAACATCAGTCTATACCAAAGATACGTGGACGACATCTTTATACTGTGGAAAACCACTCCCAATCTGGACGATTTTTTGTCGTGTATGAACGACAATGCATATGGCCTCACCCTCGGCTTAGAACAGGTTAGCAACTCGAGTGCTCATTTTCTTGATGTTAACATCCGTCTCAGGGGGGGCAAGATAGAAACGAGCGTCTACCATAAACCTGACCAACTCCCGCTGTTCATTCCCGCGTGCTCTTCTGACCCCTTTGTTTACAAAATGGCGGCTTTCCGAGCCCTTACCAAACGGGCTTTCACGCACCACACACATGTGCGCGACGCATGGTCGGAGATCCGACGCATAGAAAAAATTGCCGTGGAACATGGTTATAACAAAGCCTTGGTCCGCGGTTTAGCACGCGCATACGCTCGCCGCCCCCCTAGCCGCAGGGACAGCCCCCTACCATCGCCGGACGACAACCGACAACCGGATGGGAACGCGAAACGCGCGGTCGTCCGCTTCAACCGGCATTTAGACCCCCTATATAGGGAGATCGCTAGCAACAGCCGCACCAAAATCGCGTACTTAAGAACCGGCACGCTTTACGACTTGCTGCGCAACGCGAAGGACGCAATCGATCTCACCAGGGCCCCAGGTGTTTACTCCGTTCCCATACGGGACGACAGGTTCAATAGAGACTTAGTTTACATCGGCTCCACCATCCGATCAACACAGAAACGTATACGCGAACACCAAGCTGATATTAAGCATAAAAGACACACCACTGCCTTATCCACCTATGTCACCGACCCGGAAATAAGGGCGGACTTCCGGAACACCAAAGTTATCAGACACGTGTTCCGAGCGGACCACATCCGTCACCTGGAGGCCTGGGAGATTCACAAAGCTAGCATGGGGGGCAACTGCATCAACTACAAGGACGGGGAAACACTTGCACAGGCGTGGAAGTATTTATTCGAGGAGTTCGAGCAACGGCGGTCGGAGGGGTGAAACCCGACGCGCACGATTATTTATTTACATCGTTGGCAACATCGTTACAACGGTCGGGTCGACACTCACCACCTGAAGCAGACCTCGGTGGAGGTCGAAAGTACTCGTGGAACTGAATAGTGAAAATAACCCTCGTAAAAAAAGGTTGTTTCGTGGATCGTTATTATTAAACGAGGTGTTAACGTGTTGGAAGTAGTTATCTTAGTACATATTAATTAACTAATTAATAATTATATATTTTGGACCTAAGGTTTTTAGGGTTTCTTAAAAAAATTTTTTTGTTAAAATCTTTTTATAAAATCATGCCTAAATATTACATAAGATAGGGAAGGGGAGGGGATCAAAGAAAATATTAGTGTTTCTTATACAAGAGTGGGTGGGGTCTAGAATGGCCAAAATCACCCTTATGTAATTTATGGATGGCCCTTAGAATAAATATAGTATATGTATTTGTCTGTATTTGGTTTCTTTTTCTTTTGTGTAATCCCACTTATTCAAACAACCTCCTTCAATAATCACTTCAGATTAACAAGAGTGTATTGTATTAGATAATTTTATAATAATGCATACTTACGTCTCAGAGGAAGTTTTGATCTGGTATGATTAATAATATTAGCCATGTGTGTTGCATTTATCCGTTGGTTTCTTCTGATCACTTCATCAATTTTTAGTAGTTCTGGGTGTTGTAAATAATAGTCTGGAATTTTTCCTTTCTGAAAATTTAATTAGTATATTTTAAAATATCATTTTATATTTTCATAAACTAATACAAGTAAAATAATTTAGTAATATAAAAATTATAAGATATAAATAATGAAGTTTGTTGTAATAATTAAGTACAATACTTATTATACTTGTATTGATATATATAATAGATTTAAAATTGACAAAAAGTTATTTTTAATTATTTTAATAAACAATAAGTTTTTCAATTTCATTGTAATGATTAAAAAATGACAAATTAGACTTGTTTATCTGTCTCTAATGGAAAGAATAAGAATTTAAAACAAGTGAAAATTTGGAGGTTTTATGATTGCAATTAAGTATGAGATTAAATGTTTATGATGAAAGAACTAGAATTGTGATTAAATTACTATACATGCTGGTATATAAGTAAACTTTTTACACATGAAAAAAAAATTCTCCAAAAAATTAGGGTTGACTTCTACTGTGATGTAAAATGTGAAAACGGTAAAAATGGAACAGTGCTTTTAACAATTACTGTGTATCACCCAATATAACTAACAGACTGTCACAAATATTCCTGATTAAACCTCATGTTTGGTGAACTTATATTTAATGTAGATATTAATACAAAAATAAAAATTGAATATACATAGGCTGACCATAATTTCTTGATACCAAAATGGGATGGGGAGGTTCAGCTGATAAACACAAGCCATCTCTTATTAAAATTTCATCAAGAAATACAGATGGGCATTATTAACAATTTATTACATTATTATTGATATTCTTTCTTACACCACAAAAATCTATAAGTAAATTTATCTAAAATATTAAAAATTGAAGATAGTCTGTTGAAACAGGAATCACCATTTATTCAGTTTCAATGTTCCAGAATATGATGTAGTGTTTGTAACAGGTGATGCAAATGGGAGCATATAAGCAAAGGTATTACAGTTTTCTGCTATTATATACTGCTTATAGTAGTATTGTTGTGATACTATGCTGAGCAAATTACAGGTATACCTCGCCTTACGTCGGTAATTGGCTCCAGGAAAACGACGTAAGTCGAATTTACTTGTCTCCGAATCTACCTGTCACTAGGTTAAACCATAAATTACCATTCCCAGTTCTGTATTTTATTTATTAATGCATTTTTAATAATATATGGTTAATAAAAATCTACTTTAAGCTTACAAACAAATAAATTTTAGTTTTTAATATAGGACAGAAAAAAGTATTCTAAATTTACGAATGCATTTACTGTAAATACAGAACATACTTGTATATATTTTAATATGATTTTATGTGCTTTAAACGTTTTTCTAGGGATATTACGACTTCAATATTTGTGGCGGACAGACGTAAAGTCGAATAAAATGACTTAAATTTGATTTTTATTTTTCCATATACTTTTTTGACAAACGACGTATAATCGGGAACGACGTAAGTCGAGGTATGCCTGTATTAATATTTTATCAGAATTGTTGATTTTAGTTTAAAATCTCATTGCTATTAGACATGATATACAAGAATTCTTAGTAGTATTCTAGTGCTCTAAATAGATCCTTTTGTCCCCATCCTTTTATTATATGAGCCATATAATTTATTTACATCATACTGAAAAGTGTTTTAAATTAAAGGTATATTAATTTATTTAATGTCCTGATAAAGTTAATATGCTTTCACTACAGGCTACCACCATATACTCTGTTTTAGCTTACCAGTAACCTACCATATGTTTAGGATCAACCTATACAGCAAGTGTAAGTCTAAACCAGAATTTTGAGCTAAAATAAGTTAACTTAAACAGATTGGCATTTACAATAGTGAGGATGGAAAGTAGAAATAGGAATAAGATTTAAAATTTTAAGAATTACTGAGCCATTTTCCAATATTATTTTTTTCAAAATAAAAATTACGAATTTATTGCAAAATTCAGTATTAGAATTTGAAGGAAAACAAGTGTCTTTGCTGTTATGTTAAAAATTTCCAGATATAAAAATAATTCAAACATATAAAAAATGATTAGAATTAGAATTGAAAATTACTTAAATATTTTTGAATTTTTGAATATTCAAGTTTTAAATAAAATTATTGGAATACAAAAGTATATTACAATCATTAATATGTATAGCTTAAATGATGCACTTATAACTTGGTGAAACTTAAAAACCTGGATCAAAAACATTCACATGTAAGTTTCAGCATGTTAAAAGTGCATTAATTAAAGTTAAGTGACCACAATGGCTAGATCACCCTTAATATGTAAGATAATTAATCCATTAATTTTTTAAATAAAGTAAAATATAAAATTCAGCTTTGGTGATTATTTAAATGTGATAATTTTTGTCAAATTCTAAGAATACTTGGGACTAGATAGAATATGGTATTACTTACAGGTTAGACCCCAGTTTTTGTGTCATGATTTTCACATGCAAAAATTTTGCATTGTACTTCAATCAAATTAGTTTGGATATGCATTTTTAACATTTTTACATTTTAACTCTAAACATTGAGGTTTCCACAAGCATGTCAAACAATAATCAGCCATTTGCTACAATTATTACAGCCATTATGCTGCAATTAACTTAACCAATTAAAGCTGAAGTTATTTTTTTTACACAATAAAATTTGAAAATGCTGTTGAAAATCCACATAATGCTGTTTTACTTGCATTATGTAGATGACATTCTCAGAGCATGGGAAAATACAGATGAGACATTTTTCACATTAGAACAATAAATGTCCAGTGTTTACCCCTCTATTAACTTTACGTGGAAAAAAGAGGTTGATGCGGCAATAACATTCTTGAATTTGCACATACATAGATCACCCAAAGGGCTACTATTCTCAGTTTTTCATAAGTTTAATAAGGTGTCTCATATCATCCCTGCTGTCACTTTCCAACCTTTGTGATATGTTGATACTGCTATTGCTGCCCTCACTAGAAGAGTTATTATCATCAATGCAACCACTTGTAAACCGATGAGTAGAGCACCATCAGTTTGGCAGTATGCACAGCTGGTTTTTCACATGCTAAGTTCATGCATGTGCATAATATGGTGAGGGAATCTCTATTTCTAAACACAACACTATGTAACAAGAGGAAGATGTCAATGGTTCAACTGCCATTACTGTACCGTGGACCCCTCTCCATATATATTGCCATATATTCAGGCAACATAACTTTCTCCTGTCCCTATCCCTGCTACTGGATTTACACAGACTCATCTGCAACAATTGGGATAAACTCTCCACCTCTGAAAAATTGGGAGTCTATGCTATGCTGTTAGAGAATTCTGTAATGGGGATGAACACACTGATACATTGGGGCCATAACACAAATGCATGCTAGCTGCCTAACTGAGCACCAGGATGAAAGGAAAGTGTACCATGGAGTCGGAAAAAGGGTGCTCAAACAGAACTACAACCCATTGTAGGCTTAAACAATGCTACTCAGACACTGCAGCAACTAGAAAATCATTTTCATATGGGAATCTCTCCTTACAACAACCTTGGAGCCATGCAATACTCCCACACTTGACCTGCTCATCACGTGAGTTGCCCTATATAAATGACTAAACAGTGATATGTGTCTTCTATCACATTTTTGACATGGGTGTATATCCACACATACACTTCATGACGTTTCAATCTCTTGCATAATCAAATTTTGATCACACTCATAATGACTTTTAATTTCAATTTAAATGATTTTTTTATTTATATTAGAATATTGTGTTCTATCAATTTCATTTAATTTAAATTTCATTTGCTTGAAGATGATGAACATAAGTTTGTTGAAAGCACTAGCAAAAATAAAAAACTGTTAATGCCACACTCAGTGTATATATTTACTTTCTCTCTATTTGTTTTTGTATGTCATCACATTTTAGTTTTTTAATGTAATTTATATTTTGATTAAAAAAAATTGATTCTTACTTCAAATTTAATTTGTTCAAATATCCTCCTGGAATAAATTAAAGTTGAAGTATGAAACACCATTCTATTACTATTGCTAATTTACTATTTCTGTATCTTATGCCAATAATTATTAAAGCTGTTTTGTTATATACCACTTTCTAGAGAAAATACCGCTACAAATAAGTGTCACCTCTAAGACTTTAGATTTCCAGTACAGTTTGAGTATAATAGATGAATGAACGTTTTCAATTCTATTTTCTTGTATAAACTACAAGGAAAGTAATGCAATATCGTGTGTGGTGATATGCCTGTGAAGACCATATGCATCAATAATTATATTTTATTCTCTCATAGTTTTCCTACAGCATTAAAATACAGTTTTGGAATACTTCATTCAAATTTTTATTATTGATTCATTACTAGTTAAAGCAATTTTTATTTAAAAATGTTCAAAATTCTTGACATTCCACATTTGGAACAATAGTGAACCTGAAGCAGATTCTGGACAAAGAATCAAAAACGTTCGTTCATCTATTATACTCGAACTGTACCAGAAATCTAAAGGCTTAGAAGTGACACTTATTTGTATCAGTATTTTCTCTAGAAAGTGCTATTTTGTTATAAAAATAATTCCAAAAGTATATTTATGATATGATATGGCTATTTTAATTTATGTATTTATGTATATAACAGGATATACAGCTACTTTATGTATTTTTACCTATTCATATTGCATGATCAGTTACTGGTATTTTCTGTCTATCAATATATGTTAGTTTGGTGGAATGTGGACTCACTCATAATGTGGGTTGGCATTTTGGAGCCAAGACACCTGGGTCCTATTGAGTCCTAAATTTAATAGGACTCAAGAATATTAACAAACATTTTAGATGAAATTAAAAAAACTATAAATTAAATTTTTTAAATTTAAATTTAATATATATTACACTTACAATATCTTGAACAGATTTGCTAGCACCACCATTTAAAAGAATATTATACATGTCTTTATTATCTCGTAAAACTGCTGCATAATGTAATGGCGTTCTTCCATCCTGTAATTATATTACAGTATTTGGAAAGTTAGATTTCTTTTCAAGTTCAAATATAATAATTTTTAATATATCTTTAAATCCTTACCATATCAGTAATATTTAATGAAAGTGGAAAATTATTCACAATATATTCAGCAACATCATAATTTTCATACCAGACAGCCTTATGAAGTGGAGTTGCACCTAATTGGTCAGTTGCAATTGCAAAACTTTTATGATCTAAAAGTTTTGTAATTTCTTGTAAACGACCTCTCATAGCAGCACGATGTACATCATGAATTCTTTTCTGAAATATACAATGAAATATTTTTGATAAATTCTTTTATATATTGATCACAGTCTTATAATCAAAAGTTTTTATTAAACTTTAGTCTGCTACTAAATTTAATTGTTCAGTACTTTACCAAATAGAAAGGCACCATTGTAAGAAAGTCATTTATTGTTGGATTTGGTGATGTTTCTCCCAAAAGCAAACCTCCATGTCCTCTGAGAATAATATCTTCCAAAGCTTCTAAATTTCCTTTATTAATTAATTCTTTTATTTGAACTCTTCCAACAGTAGATTCTAAAATAAATTTATATTTGATTCAAAAATATATTTAACATAATTGAATATTTTTTCCAAAATAAGTTCTGCTTACAGTCAGGTTGCTGTATTGTTTTCCTAGTAGAGGAGATAACAATCTTTTTTTAAAAAATAAAATCATACAGAAAACAGACCCAGTCATTTGGAAATCTAGTTGAATATATATTCTGCTCACTCATCAATTTATTACATTGAATATTCAAATTGAATTTAAAACATGAAATAAAAAGAACATGGAAGCACAAGAAAAAGGATAAAACAACAATATAAGTTGGTTGTTAATGTTAAAAATATCATGAAGCAAAAATTTAAACTAAGGTAGAATTTTGTAAAACAATTTTCATGTGGTGGATAATGATCCTGCATTTTGATAGTTAATTAATACACCCATATCTTCTATTAGCCTTACAGATTTCTTGTCTTAGTCTTGTTGGAATTTTTAGCAATAAATTATCAAAACTTAGCAGAACTGATTTTGGGAACAAGATTTTTAATTTATATCTATTACAAAATGTATTTTTTATATGTTGATTTAATAACATTAAAAAATTAAAAAAATAACTTTTTAATATACAGTGGGTGATCAGTTAACGAACAGATCGGATAACAAACAAATCAGATAACGAACACTTTTGCGAAAGATTTTTACTGACAACGAACACATGATTGGATCACACAAGAACAAACACAAGAAGAAGCGACGTAAAATAATGAATACTGATTGGTCTTCCCTTGTCTTTGGGCAACAATTCAAAACTTTTTGGAGTGTGGAAGACGTTGACATTGACGCTCAAGCTGGTATATACTGATCGGATAGTATTCCTTCAAACTTTGAAACTCTCCCTTGTAATTCCAGCCTTTTATTTTTCTGACAAAACAATTCTTTTATGTATTTGCGAGACTGTCGGGTAGGTACTTGTTAAGTTTTGCATCTGTTTTTCTTTTCAAAAGGTGAGAGTATAATAGCAAAGGTAGAGAGTGGGCAGAAGATGCCTAATGTTGCTGGGCAGTATGGCATGAACAGGTCTACAGTAGGCCGCAGTTCAATCTTATTTAAGAAAAATACTGTATAATCAAGAAGACTCAAGCAGCTTAAGGAGTACCAAAAATCACATCTGAGATATAAAGAACATTGAAGAGTTTATAATAGAACCTGAAACGGATCTGATGACAGAACGCCATGAACTCTTGAATGAAGAATACCAAGAAACTAGGTGAGATATGTTTTCTTCTGAAAAAAGAGGATTAATGCCAGTATCTGCTATTAATTAAAGATCTTTTGAAGAAGTGGAAGGATGTCAGAACAACGGTCTTAGAATGGCATCCAAACCAGGTTGAGGCTTGGGGATTTCTGCAATTGCAATGCTATTAATTACTTACGAAAAATCCTGAAGAAGAGAGAAAAGCAATCGACATT